AAAAAAAAAAACTCATGTTTTTTCAATGTGGGATAACAAACCTTTTAGTTTAAATACTTCAACTTAAAAGGATAATATAATATCTTTTCAATGTGAGATTTGAAACCTTTTCGTATATATACTCTATGTTCTCAAGAAAAAATTCATGTTTTTTCAATGTGGGATAACAAACCTTTTAGTTTAAATACTTCAACTTAAAAAGATAACATAGTATCTTTTCAATATGGGATTTGAATCCTTTTCGTATATATACTCTATGTTCTCAAGAAAAAATTCATGTTTTTTCAATGTGGGATAACAAACCTTTTAGTTTAAATACTTCAACTTAAAAAGATAACATAGTATCTTTTCAATATGGGATTTGAAACTTATTAGTATAAATACTATATATTTTCAAGAAAAAAGTGATGTTTTTTCAAGAAAAATCATGCCTTTTCAATGTAGGATAAATTTTTTTAAAAAATATTCTTTTAAATTTCATTGTTTACAATATGTATAATTTATATTTATATAGATTGTTTTATATGAAATATTAAAACTTTATTTTTTTTTTTAATTTTTCCGGGTCAACCTCTGGGCCGGGTTTGATAACTATGGTAATATAAATCATAAAAATCAAATGCCTTTAACAAATATTCTTATAAGTGAAATTTTTTATGTTTAGGGTATTGATTTTATGGGTGCATTTCCTTCTTCTTTTGACAATCTTTATATCCTTCTTGTTGTTGATTATATGTCCAAGTGGATTGAGGTGAAAGCCACAGAATTAACGATGCTAAGGTTGTTTTAGATTTTGTTAGGGCTCACATATTTGACAGGTTTGGAATCCCTAAAGCTATCATTAGTGATTATGACACTCATTTTTGCAATCGTTTAATGGAAGCATTGTTACGCAAATATCATGTGATTCATCGGACTTCAACAGCCTACCACCCTCAAACAAATGGCCAAGCTAAAAATTCAAATCAATAAATGAAGTCTATTTTGGAGAAGACAGTGCAACCTAACCAGCGAGACTAGAGTCTACGATTTACTGATGCACTTTGGGCTTATCGGACTACTTACTTTGGGCTTATTTTTCTCAAGTTTATTAAACTAATAAGGAACAAATCTTACAAATTAAAACGTTGAAAGAGAATGAAATTGAAAAAAAAATAATTTCATAAATTATCTCAAATAAAATAAATAATAATAAAAATAATAAAGATCAAATTAAAAAAAAGATGAAGAAATTAAAATAATAATAATTAATATTTTATAAAGTATTTCAAATAAAATAAGTAACAATCAAAAGAATGAAGACCAAATTTGATAGATAAAAAGTTTCAATAAAAAAATAATAGGAGAAAAGCAAATAAGAATTATAAAAATGAGGACCAAAGTTAATATACAAATTAAATTTTAAGAAATAAAATTGAAAAATAAATATTCAAAACAAAATATATATAGCAATCAAAAGTTTAAGGATCAAATTTGATATAATTAACAAATAATGACATTTCTAAATTTTTCACAACTTCCGGAAAAGTGTTTTCCTCCCAAAGTCTCAGGAAAACACTTTCCTGAAAACTAAGTCAAATTTTTTTTTGATAGGAAAATGTTTTCTGTTGACCAACTTTCCTAACAACAAACAAACATAAGAAAGTTTGAAAAGTGATTTCTCAAAAATCAATTTTCAGAAAACAAGCACAGCCAAAAAGAAAAAACACTTTCTTGAAAACCAAGCCAAATTTTTCTTTAACTGAAAAATATTTTTCATTGACCGGAAAATATTTTCTGTTGACTAACTTTCCTAATGGCAAACAAACACGGGAAAGTTTGAAAAGTATTTTCTTGGAAACTACTTTTCAAAAAACAAACATAACCTTAATGTGTTCTTTCCAATGATGCTGGGTGCATAGCTAGCAAAGAAGTGTTTAAGCTACAATGAACCTTTTTCTCACTCTTCTCTTTGCTAAAAAATGAACATGTCTTTTCATTAGTTTTTTTGTATCTTTACTAGTCTTTATCTTTTTTATTATTATTTGTTTTGTTTTAAATTTTTTAATGATTTTTTTCTTCATTTTCGTCCCTCGTTATTAGATTTTAATTAATTTATATATAAAAATTGATCCCTATTCTTTTGATTTTTGTTTATTTTTAACTCGTTTTCTAATTGAATTTTGTTTTCAATTTCATTCTGTAACATTTGATATCATATTATTTTAATATCAAATTTAGTTTATATTTTTTTTATTGGTATTCTTTTGTTTAGGAGCCTTATTTTATTGCATTTTCTTTTTAATTTTGTCCTTTAATATTTTATTTTGTTGTTTTTTTAAGTCTACTTTGTTTGAGGCTTGTCAGGTGCTCATGGCCAAAGCCATAAGTCTCGAAGGTTAATATAGGTTGAATTTGGTCTTTTTTAGGATTATTTTTATTTTTAATTTTTAATTTTATCATTTAATATTTAATTTATTAAAAATTAATATTAGTGTTTTTTCTTTCTATGAGATTTTCTTAATCATGTGTCCATGATTATCAGGTTAGCATCTTAACTTGTGTTTGCATTAATTGTTTTTTAATTAATTTTTTATTTTATTTTTGAATATTAAATTAATTTTTAATTGAACTTAAAAGTTTAACCTAAATAGGCTCATGTTGGGTTTTTTCTTCTTTTAGTATTTTTTACTTTGTTATTGTTTTGTGACTTTATTTATTATTATTGTTTTTTATATTATTTAAATTAGTTGATCTTATTAAACCTAATCAAGTTAATAACTCAAATCTTATTTTTATTTTTATTTTTTAACAATTGTATCATCTTGATATTTTTTTATATTGTAAAAAAAATAAATTGGTTCACACTCCTATCTAGTCTCATACATAATAATATAAAAAAGATTGATTTTTTTTAGAAAAGTTGAGTGGAAAAGATGACATTAGGCGACAAAAAGTAATATTTATTTATTTTTTCTAATTACAATCCAAAATTACCTTTCTCAATATTGAAGAAGAAAAAAAAAAAAATTCAATTTTTCATTCCTTATTTATCTCCATAGTCAAAACGTCATTGATTTTTGTTTTATAGTTTATTTGGTATTATTATAATAATTATTTTTAAAATTTTTTTATTTAAAAATATATTAAAATATTATTTTTTAAGTATGTTTTATATTATTATATTAAAATAATTTATTTTTTTAAATTAATTAAAAAATATTTTTGGACGGTGAAGTTACTTAAAATTTTCTCTCCTCTTCTGTTGATTGAGATGCAAAAGCATTTTTGCAAACGAACATAACTTTTGCAATCATGCTCCTCTCTTACATTACTTTTATTGTTTCTGAACGACAAAGATACTTCCCTGTCTTTAGATTCTTCAAAATTTAGTTATATCCGCTATATATTTTTTTGAAAGCACTCACTTCACCTTGATCCGTTCTCTCTCTTTTCCAGCTAATACATTTTTAGTCTCCCCCGCCAGGTTTTGGCCACACATTCTCTTTATCTTGTCCCTTCTTCTGGTCTTCGTTCTTTGTTTTAACTTAAATCTGGCTACTTTAGCTTCGATGCCTCAAAAATTCTTTTCGTTTCTTTACTAACCCCGCCTTTTCGTTCTTTGTTGATCTTGCCATAATAGTGTGTATTTTATTTTCTTTAGGCTGTTTAGTCCTCTGGGTCTCTTTTGCTCTACTGGTAGATTGTGATCCCAACTATTGGTTCTGGTTTAAGGTTTTCAGTTTTGGCTTCTTGGTGCTCCTTTTTTTTTTTTTTTGCAGTGAGGTTGAGAATTCAGAATGGCTGGTCCTCGTTTTTTTGTGTGATTGGAGTTGGGGTTCGTGCTCTCTCTTGTTGATTTATTAATTTGAAGATTGTTGATGCATTCTTTCTAATAAGATGCAGCCCGATCAGCGCAAAAAGGTAAGCAATCTAGTCATCATCTTTTGCAAGTAATTTTTATGAATATAAATTTCCATATCTGTGCACTTTTTGGACAATATCAAATTGGTTGTTGTGGTTACTGTCTTGTTAAAATGCATCCAACTAGGCTTGGGATTGTGATTAGTTTCATTTTTCACCATGATCCTGTTAATCATTTTTGTGATCCATATTTATTTGTATTGGGTGTATAGTTTCTTCACACCAAGGTGTGGAGGAACAGCTATCATGTTCATGTCTGTTTCTTTGACACATGCTTATGTTTTCCTGTTGCAAAATTGTGGCAGGTCCCACTATAATACTATTTCCAAGTAATTCAATTCTTAATTTTTTTTTTAAGAAAAAAAATGTTGTAATACAGAGGCACTGCATGTCTTGAAATAGGAGGAGGTGTCAACCACATGTACGCTTGTTCTTATCCTTTTTCTTTTTCACTTGGGTTTTGGGGGTAGGGGGTTAAATTCATGAAGATATTTCCATGTTCTTATCGTAATTCTATTTCTAATTTACTTTTACTGGAGGTCGGATTTATAAATCTCATCTACAGCAGTTTACATTCTTGTTGACAGACTAGGGGAGCAGTTTTTCTTCGTTAATATTTGAACTCTTCTAATCATAATGGTGTGAAGTATAATGTAGACCAAATAATTGCTCTACACTCAATAATTAAGTTGTGGATCAATTTAATTGTTGGGTAAGCAGGGGTAGATTAGGATGTTGAATGAAGCAATTTGAAGTGATCTTTTCAAATGCTTGCAGTGGTGTTTGGAAGATGCATGTTATGTTAATGATGTCAAACATGTTTACTTATGCTATGTGTGCATACGCAGCAAAAAATACTTGGTATAGCTAAAATGGGGTGGGAATACTCTTTAAATAATATTGCAAGTCGGTTTGATTGTTATTGTAAATTTCTTCTTGAGTGTTTTTTTTCGTGTCCATGATTTGGCGCATTTGAACGTGGTATTGCAGTCATCCGTGGATGTAGACTTTTTCACAGAATATGGTGAGGGGAGCAGGTACAAAATAGAGGAAGTGATCGGCAAAGGAAGCTATGGTGTTGTGTGCTCTGCATATGATACCCATATTGGAGAAAAAGTGGCAATCAAGAAAATCAATGACATCTTTGAGCATGTCTCTGATGCCACCCGCATCCTTAGAGAAATTAAACTTCTTAGACTCCTGCGTCATCCAGATATTGTGGAGATCAAGCACATTTTGTTGCCTCCTTCCAGAAGGGAATTTAAGGACATATATGTTGTTTTTGAACTAATGGAATCTGATTTACACCAAGTTATCAAAGCAAATGATGATTTAACTCCAGAACATTATCAGTTTTTCCTTTATCAGCTTCTTAGAGGCCTCAAATACATACACACAGGTGATTGACTTGGTTTCTTGAAGTTCTATCTGTAAAATATTGATTTTTTTTTCGTACCCTACTTTTTCACGGGCTCACTCATTGTGTGGTGCAGTATTGCTACATGCTGACACTCAGCATGTGTAGAAATATAACGATCCGGTATTTGCTGATTTATTATTATGATTATTCCAACATAATGTATTTTTTTTTAATGGTGTTGCAGCCAATGTCTTTCACCGGGATCTGAAACCCAAAAATATCTTAGCAAATGCCGACTGCAAGCTCAAGATCTGTGACTTTGGTCTCGCAAGAGTTGCCTTTAATGATACCCCAACTGCCATTTTCTGGACAGTAGGTTTTCTCTTGGCTTGATATAGCATTTTAATTTCCATATAAGAGGGTCCCTGTGATGGTTTCAAACGTTGATTTTCATTCATTTAGGGTTTTATTATTTCCTTTTCTTTCGGTTTCAGGATTATGTTGCAACAAGATGGTACAGAGCTCCGGAATTGTGTGGATCATTTTTCTCAAAGGTGCCATGACCATTACCACCACCAATTTGTTACAAAGTTTTATGTATCTCCTTTGACTATACTGGCTTTAATTGCTTCTCCCCTTGCATGGTTATTCCAGAACACCTTGAAATTATAATCACTACTTGCATGGTTCCTTTTGGGAGTTGGAGAGTTGTAAATAGTTAATGTTATCATATTCCAACTTACTTCCTGTAACAGTTCTTTTAGTCATCACTTCTGTTTTTCTTTTTCAGTATACGCCAGCAATAGACATATGGAGCATTGGATGCATATTTGCTGAACTATTGACAGGAAAACCTCTTTTCCCTGGGAAGAATGTAGTCCATCAATTGGATCTGATGACTGATCTTTTGGGAACGCCAACACCTGAAGCCATTGCAAGGGTATATTTCATGTGATAAGCTTTCCTTGAAACAGAACTGATTGTTTTGTCATTTACAACCTGTGTTTTTCCTTATTTTCATCCATGCAGTTGCTCTGTGTGCTGAAGTATTGGTATTATATGAACAGGTACGCAATGAGAAAGCTCGAAGATACCTGAGCAGCATGAGAAAGAAGAAGCCCATTCCATTCTCCCAAAAGTTCCCTAATGCTGACCCCCTTGCACTTCGTTTGTTAGAGAGAATGTTGGCATTTGAACCAAAAGATCGGCCTACTGCTGAAGAGGTAAATTTTGATACCTCTTCATCTTCACCTTGATAATGTGCCTCTCTTCTTCTAAAAGTGCATATTGTACTGCATTTTGTCAGGCTCTTGCAGATCCATATTTCAAGGGCTTGGCCAAGGTTGAGAGAGAGCCTACTGCGCAACCAGTTACCAAGATGGAATTTGAATTTGAGAGACGAAGGGTAACTAAAGAAGATGTACGAGAGCTTATATACCGAGAAATTCTTGAGTATCATCCTAAAATGTTGAAAGAGTTTTTAGATGGTTCAGAGCCAATTGGGTTCATGTATCCAAGGTATTGGTGTTGTAAAATTAAGATTCTTGGTTTGTATCATCATACTTGTTAAAGCATATGCAGTATTCCATATGCTTGAAGTGAAGTATCAGCGCAAATTCGAGATTCCTGTTAGATTCAAGGTGTTTTAGTGTCCCTGTGAAATAAATTATTAAGTTGTGAATTTTTCCATTGCAGTGCTGTTGACCATTTCAAGAAGCAATTTGCTTACCTTGAGGAGCACTATGGAAATGGTGCTCCTGTTGCTCCACCTGAGAGGCAGCATGCATCATTGCCCAGGTATCCCAATTCATAAAGTGATTCAGTGCTGCCTCCCATTTATATTCGGGATTTTGTCAACTGAATTGATAAAAATTCATGCATGCAGGCCATGTGTATTATATTCAGATAATGCAATACAGAATTCGGCAGAAGTCACCAATGATCTCTCCAAGTGTTCTATCAAAGAAATTGAGAAGCCACATGTAGACAGGAGTGATGGGATGCCAATGACAAGGCTTCCTCTTCAAGTTCCTCAAAGTATCCAAGGTTTGCAATAGTTGCATCTAGTTTAGCTTCATCTATTCTCATCTGCTCTCTTTGATGTCTTACTGAATTTATAGAAAATCAAATATTTTATACTACATTTTTGTTTCTCTTTCCCTCGTAGAAACCTGTTGTCTACAAAATTTGAGGGAGAAACCATTGTGAATCTTGTTTGTAATCTTCATCTTTTGTCTGATTCATTGGCTGACCAATTAACTTAGGTTTTCCTGACGTCTTTTAAGTGATTTGGTTGGCATGGTATAAAATATTTGAGTTAATGCACACAGCTTTTAGGAAGTCAACGAGGTTTTGCATTTACAAATACATAATTCAGTATGAGAAATTATAGTGGCTACTTAAGTTCTCAAGGAACTGAGTGTTTGATGTGTACATGTGATCTCGTCTGTCATCAAATTGTTTGATTTTACTCCCTTTTGCTCTATTAAGGTATTGCTGTTGTGACTTGCATTTACTAGATGTTAAGAGACAAATGTTCAGAAGCACAGATGTTTTGAAGTTGATCATTCAATCAACGTGCCTTGTTATTTGAAATGTAGAAATATTTTTGAAAAATGTAGTGCGTAGCAAATATTATGTGCATCTTTTTCTTCTTTTCTTGGTGAAAATCCATGGACCAGGATGTATGCATTTAAGCAATGTGCTGTTGAGCTGATGCCTATGTAGATTGCTACCTTTCTCATCTCTTTCCTTTTAAACCTTGTTGCTAGCCTATTGACATATGCGATATACTGATGACTGTAATTTGAATGCCATTCTCTACAGCAGGTGCTGCAGGATCTGTGAAAGTTGCAAGTTCAGTGCTGCGTTACAATAATTGTGGAGCAGCAGCAGCAGCAGCAGAGAATCTTGACCAGCAAAGGATGGTCAGGAATCCAGCTATTTCAACTCAATACGCCACTGCAAACTGTTCATATCCAAGAAGAAACCCAGCCTGTAAAAATGAGAGGGGAGAAGATGAGGGGGTTGAAGGCCCCAATGGATTGCAGCCAAAGCCACAGTATATGGCAAGGAAACTTGCTGCTGCCCAAGGTGGACCTGGAAATCACTGGTACTAATGGTGCTTTTCTCTGTGGCGACCCAAAGTGTTGACTGCCTACGTCCAACCTAATGGAGGCGGTTATCAAATAGCATCCACAGATAGATCTTCTGCCAGTGCAAAATACATCAGATTCAAATGCTGTCATGTAGCAGTGCTTTCAACCAGCTCAGGCTCTTCAAAAGACATGTCTGGGGCTTCTGTTGAAAGAAGTTGAGCTGCAAGTTTTCATTCAGATCACTGATTTAAGGTTGAACAGGTTCGTCAGTGGTTAGGATCCATGACGTTTTGCAGTCTGATTTAGCTCAATAACCAATATAACAAAGAATGTTTGATATCGCAAGTGTGGAAAGGGCAAAGTGATTGGTTGACTAGCTTAGTCTTACTGTTTTCTTTTTTAAAAATAAGCTATTTCTTTCCCCTTGTTTGGGGTTTTCAATCTGAAGGTTGTATCAATCTGTTTGTTATTTTGTATTCGGAAAAAGGATACTTGGTCTTTGGTCTTGAATATTTGTCTCAGCAACTGGAAAATTTGGCCATAACTTGATCAAAAGGAGAATTAGGATGCAATGAAATTTGTTGTCATTATCACTACTTAATCTGGCTGTTTGTTATCTGTTTCTTTCATGCAGAAAGTTAGTAAATACTTGTAGTTTTTGTATAGCAGCACTGCTGAGTTTGTTGCAATGGTTGTGATTTGGAAAAAAATAAAATGGTTGTGGTTTGGAAAAAGAAAAAAAAGTTTAGCAAAATATATATTAAAATATATATTTGGTTAAAATTATGATTTAACAAAAAATATATGTTAAAGGTATTTATGTAAAATTATAGTTGAAATTGATGTTAATAAAATGATAAGAAAAAATATCTATTAAATTTTTATTTTGCAATCACATTAATATATATTTGATTATTAATATGTTAAAAAAATAGTAATGTGAATTATAACATTGGTTTTATTGTTGTATTTAACTTGTTGTAATTTCATTACGAACATAATTGATGCATGAATGCCTTATTTTTTATGGATTTTATGAATGTGAAATCATATTGGTTAAAAAATCTTATGAATGTGAAATCATATTAGTTAAAAAATCGCTAGCAATAAAATTAGGATGATGATAAAATTTTATCACCATCCTAATTTTATAAATGCCACATTTTTTTTATTTTTTTCTAATATAGTTATGTAATATCATGAATGCTACTACAATTTAAATTTTTATTTTGTAAGGAAACAAAAACATATTCTTTAAAATTCTTCACATTTCTTTTCACACTTCAAAATATGTTCTTTTATGCAATGTATTGAAGAATAAACATGATAAAAAATTTATTCCTGAGTTCATAGTTGTCCTTGCTGGTGAGATTCTACATAAACCTAAAAAGCCACACTTATTAGGATATCTCAAATCGATTATATGATATTTCACCGCAATAACATATACTAATACATATCAACCCACAAAAATCATCAATGATTTATTACATGTTTTAATTGAGCTAATTTTAAGGTCCAAAACAAAAACATTAAAGAAAGCATTGAATGAGCTTGTTTTATAGGTTTCAATCAAGGCTAATAAAGATCCATTGAAGCATCAAAAAGGGGTTTTAGTATATTTAATTCAAGTGCAAGAGGGGTCCAATCCAATCTTATTTGGGCTCTGAAATTTCAATGACAATTTCCTTTAAGTTTCGGTTAGCCTTGTCCTTTATGATTCCGTGTATTTTATGGATTCCATAGTAATTGTGTTAAAACTAAATGCTCCTATGGTATGTGGAAACATTAATTATTTCTTTTATGTATTAAGATTTTGTATTAACAAAAGTAACATAAGAGTCCATGCTTAAAGAGAAAACAAAGCAATACGAACCAAGTTAGGTTTTAATTTTGCCTTAAAATGCATAATGATCAATTTTACAGTATCAGAAATATCTCTTAAATGGTATATCATATTGATCTAAACTTTATAGGGATATACTAGACAAATGAAACTTGTAAGCCCCTAAAAAATGAATCATTGAATTTAATTAATTGAAGAAAAGACCATTAGTGAGGAGTGTAATTCTTAACTTAAAGTGTGAAGGTAAACATAAGTAAAAAGAGAAGAACTAATTGTATAAAGATGAGAGTACGGCTTAATGTGAGAAACATAAAGAATCAGGGACTAAATTAAAAAGAAATGAATAAGAGAGGGACCAAAAAAAAAAAGAAGAGAAAACCAGTTATCTTTAAGGAAGAAAAAATGGTTGATGACAAAAAAGAAAAGAAAAGAAGGGAGCACTTTCTTCTCTTGTCATTTTTCTCTCAAAGATCTTGTAAAGAAGAAACATATGCAAATTAATTCTTGAGAGTGTTAGAAAGGTTTGAGTGAGGATTTAACACAAAAAAAAAAAACAAATTGAAGAGAGAGTGAGGGTTGAAGCAGCCAGAAGTAGAAGGAAAATGAGGGGAGACCAAAAGGTTTAAGGAAGGAGCTTTAGGAAGCAAAAACATAGCTAGGAACAAAACTAGCACCTTTCTAGATCAATTTCTAGCACTTTTAGGGGGGGGGGGCATCAGGACGTGATCTTTTATCGGTGGATCTCACTCGACTAGAGGAGCAAGTAAAGTCTTACCTATAATTTTGTGATGTCAATTAAGGTTTTGGTTGTAACTATAAATGCTATGAATGAAATGAATCCAAATGAATTGTAAATTGTTGTATGAAATAATAATGTGATTGGATTGCTTTTGCCCAATGTTATGATTTTTTTCGAAGTTGTTTGAAAACCAATGTAATTAGGTTGTTTTTACCAAGGCAAAAGTCAATATCGTGATTGTTTTTGAAGTTGTTCGAAAACCAATGTGATTGAGTTGCTTTCATTAAGGCAAAAGCCAATGTTGTGATTGTTTTTGAATTTTGGAGACCAATGTGATTAGGTTGCTTTTGCCAAGATGAAAGTCAATATTGTGATAGTTTCTAAAGTTGTTTGGAAACTAATGTGATTGGGTTTCTTTAACCAAGAAGAAAGCCAATGTTATGATTGTTTCTAAAGTTGTTCAAAAACTAATGTGAGTGGGTTGTTTTCGCTAAGGAGAAAGCCAATGTTGTGATTATTTCTGAAATCAATGTGATTTTATTTCCTTGGCAAATGAGAAAGCCAATGTTAATTTTTTTTCTTTCTAAAGTTGTATGGAAATCAATGTGATTGGGTTGTTTTCACTGAGACAAAAGCTAATGTTGTGGAGTCTTCGAAATTACTTAAAGACTAAATGTGTTTTGGTTGTTTCTACAAATACAAATGCCAATGTTGTGTTAGTGCCCAAGCTATTTTGAAAATTATGGTAAATTGAATTGTTTTTGATAAATCAAAGTTCAATAAAAGTTGTAATGAAATATTTGATAATTATGTAAATCGAAGTACTAATTGACTTGAAATTGAGACTAATGATTAGTACATGAAAGTGTATTTTTATCAAGGTTTTATATCATCATTTTGCACTTGAAGTATCAATAACTCCTTAACTAAAACATGTTTTATAATAACATATCTAATAA